ATGTAATGTGTTAATTATTGAAACTGTCCTAGCAATTTGGTTTGAAACTGTCTCATTGCTATTTGTTTCTCAATAAAATTATAGGAAAAAAAAAGGAATCTGTATTTTAATAAGGTCTGACTTTATGACCCAGGATCTGTTCATTGGTCCAGGTCCATCTGGTCCACGTGAGTGTGAGATGAAGCATATGGAAAGCCCTTACTGGATGTCTTTGGGCTTCCACTTTCCAGTCTGTAAAATGGGATCAGGATGTTTGATGTGTCTGTGTCAAAGAATTGGGAAGTGTGAAGAATAAGGTAATGGATGCAAAACCACATTCTAAAGGTAAGACTGTAACATTACTATTGTGATATAATGGAAATATGCTAAGTAGTTGGAATGATGTCTTAGAAGTCACAAGATTTGAATGGTCTTTTTATGCTGAGAGAAATCTCTTAGAGGTCTAGCAGTAGTGGAAGGCATGAAAAGGCTTACTTTTATTGGAAAAATTTGAAAACAAGTTGTTTTAAAATTTAAGGGTGTTTATTTACAAGACACAAATGTTTCATATTTAATAGGAATTAAAGTGCTTAATTAAAAAAGAAAATATACATAACTATCACACTGGGATTTAGGGCTTCAACATACAAATTTGCAAAGGTGAACAATCAGTATACATAATTAATTACATGCATGATTATTGTCCTTTAGCTTCAAAACAGCTATCCTTTATTCTGAGAAATACCCAGCCTATTTGAGACAAAACATTTGTGAGTGAGTGAGGATGCGAACACTCAAACCTCTGCTCTTCATATCATTCCTGGAGATATTCCTGAATTGTGGAGCTCAGCTGATAGCTGAGAAGGGCAAAAAGTAGGCTTTCAAATAGCTTGTCATTGATCACTACTTTGTTCATGCGGAAGTGCCGTGATAGCAACGACTTGCTTTTAGAGCAAACCACCTGCAGAATTTACATCGCTAGAAGAAAGAAAACAAATTCGGTCCATGTTTTTTATTGGTTAAGCAGTTACTTATAGGCAAGTCATTTACTTGACTTTTTTTTTTTTT